GAAATAAATGTTAATTAATTGGTTGTTTATATGACTTATTATTCTCATGAAGGGTTTATATACTGATGATGAAAAAGATGATGGTAATTATAACGATAACGAAAATGATGTCGATGTTGATAACTATGACGAAGAAACTACCATCAATAATATTCAATATGATGATAATGATTTTGAGCAAGAAAATAATAAGCAACAAAATTCTAATGATGTTGTAATGGATGATGATAAAAATTTGTCTTCTACTACTAAATCAAAGGTTTATAATAATAATTTATTGATATAGCATTAATTTTGATTTAATATTAATAGATGATTGATTGATTGACTGTTTCTTTTTTATAGTATTTTGGTTCATTTATTTGCATGCAGAAGAATGTTGCTGGAGAAATAAATTCAAATCCAAATAAAGATATTATACAAAAGGTATTATTAATTAATTGAATTTTTTATTTTAACAATAAAATTAACAAAAAAAAATGTTTTAAAATTATAGCTTCAAATTTTATATGAACATTATGAAAGAATGAAAGATCATTGGAGAATGTTGAGTTATAGAAAAGCAATTGCAGCTTTAAAAAAATATAATAAACCGATCACATCATATGAAGAAGCAAGAAATATATTTGGTATTGGAGAGCGTACAGCTCAAAAGGTAAAAAAGTAAATTATTTATTAGCTAAGAGAGAGAATTAAAAATTAATCGTCAATCAATCAATCAATTATAGATTATGGAAATCATTGAAACTGGTCGTTTGCAAAGAATTGAAAATTTAGATGAAGATGATGAACTTATCAAAAAATTTAGTAATATATATGGTATGAATAAAAATTTTTCCTCATATTTATAATATACAAAAATACATATACAAATACAAATACATATGTGTACACATGTATTTCTAATATATATTAGGAGTTGGCAATACCTTGGCTATGAAATGGCACGCCAAAGGATATAGAACTTTTGAGGATCTATTACAAAATGCGAAATTAACATCTGCCCAACGAGCCGGTATTATTTATTATGATGTAAATATTATGATAATTTCTTCAAAAAAAAAATTTTTTTTTAAAAAATCCGACGATATTTTATTTATTTTTAAAAACATTATTAATACGTAGGATTTACAAGAAAGAATTCCAAGAAATGAAGTTACAGAAATATCTATGTGTATAGAAAGATTAGCTCACACTGTAGATAAAAATTTAGAATGTATAACCGTAGGATCGTATAGAAGAGGAAGTAGTAGTTGTGGTGATATTGATATTATGATAACTAAAAATGATTCTAAAGGAAAAAATCATTTAGGTGTGTTGATTTTTGAATTTTTGAATTGTAGTTGTAGTTTTTTTTTTCTAATTTATCTAATATATTTAAAAAAAGGTATTTTATCAAAGTTACTCCCTATTTTGCGTAGAGAGTCTATCATCGTGCATGACCTAGCACAACATCATGGTAAAGAATCGCTTTCAGAAAGGTATCGTGGTATTTGTAAATTACCTGGTGGAAAAAATCGAAGATTAGATTTATTCACAGTTCCTTACAATGAAATCGGGGCAGCTTTATTATCTTACACGGGAAATGATTTGTTTAATAGAAGTATGAGATTATTAGCCAGGAAAAAAGTAAATTATATTGATTATAATAGTTTTTACAAAATTTCTCGATAATTTCATTAATTTCGTTATTTATAATTTGTGTAGAAAATGAGATTAAATCATCATGGATTATATGGAAATATAATTCGTGGTAATGGAGCAATAAAATATTCGGAGGGTACTTTAATTGCTCAAAAAACCGAAATTGAAATATTTGATGCATTGGGTGTTCCATATAGGTGAATGAACATTATTTATAGGCATACTATTTTTACAAACATGATGCTGATAACTAACGTTTATATTAATATTTATAGATCTCCAGGAGAAAGGAATTGTTAGAAAATTTGTTGGATTATTTATTTAAAAGACAATAAAAACGATCTTTAATCGATGGTATTAACAACAATAAACGAAATTTATGATAAAACTTTATGGTACAAAAGATCCGCATCGTATTTTGAGCGTGATTTTTTTAAAAAATTACTACTAACCCCTTACGTTGAACCTATAATTCCAGACAGTCTATAATAAGGTGTCTCGGGGTGCAAGTCAAATGTCGGTTATTGTGTTTCCGTTATGTACTTTAAAAGTGTATTAGAATGAGGGGCCCCATATCCGAAAAACAGTAACGTGACCAGATCAACATTCGGCATTTCTAACTATAATCATTTTTGACCATGTCTTGTGTTTTAAACTCATGGAGCAAAGCCGTGTTGTGATTTTTGCGTAACCGTTTTGCAAATTTTTGATGACATTTCATCCACAAGATTAGCAGATCTGGTGCCTGTTTGCTTTACCATGAATAGAACCCCTTTCACTTTGGATTCTATCATGACGATGCAAGCATAGGTAATAGAATCTACTTTATGTTCTATTCTATAACTTCATCACTTGGCTATATCCAGCCATGAAAGTTCCCACACCTGGATCAAGAGAAATAATGGATAACAGCGCTTCGACCAGGGTTTTGTTTATTTCTAGCAGGGATGTGACCCTAAACTCCCTAAACAGTTTCAATAAAGAACCTACTTAAACCTAAACTAAGCGTTTCGAGTCACAGCATTCATTTCGAGTGATTTAGGACTACATAAGTAGATGATTTATGGTAGGACGACAGCAATATTGTATTTTTTTCACTTGATTTAATTAATACCTTTGGGGAATGAAAATTCGCCTCTTTTCAGATATACAGTCAAACTTCGATAAACCGAACTACTATAACCGATTTTCGCTTTATAACGATGCGAAATTGGGTTTAAAGACCCGTAAAAATTTATTGATTGTGAGTGTGTTAATATTGCTTTTTTTAATTCACCTGGTAAAATTGTGTTTCTTTCTGATCCAATATCTAAATATTTAATTTGATTCTGTGTTTTAATTAGCTGTGCTGATTCATATAAATCCTTATCATCTTTAGCAGCATAACATATTCTTAATGATTGAATATCTTTACAAATATTTGCTAACTTATTAACAAATTCTCCATTATAAGAACCACCCCAATCTATTCTATAAAGTCTCTGAAATCAAACATCAAATCTATGATGATTAATTAAAAAATTACAATCTAAATAACTAGTATTAAGCCTTCTAATACCTACTGAATGATCTAAAATAAAGTTTATTAATTTATTTTGTAAAGGAATTTTTATCAAATTTCTAAGACCATGACTGATGGAAATTATAGTGCAAAATCTGGCATAGTTGTATAATGGTGGTTTCTCCAATAGTTTAAAAGTAAATTTAATTCCTGTTGGATAATCTTTATCTTCTTCCAATAAGCAATTGATTAATATTTTGATACTGTTATACGAGTAAAATGGATTTCTAGTGACTTTGTCACTATTTTTATTAATAAAAAACAACAAGTTAAATTATTTATTCGAAATAATTAATAATACTTTGTTATTTTTTGATTTTTAATGTTATATAATATCACTTTTTTTTAATGATTTAAAAGCTTTCGATTCATTTCTAATTATTTGTTCAAGAAAATTATAAGCATTGACTGTATTCCTTTATTGTAATATTATATAGGAATATTCGCACTACTTTCCTCCTCTTCTTAATCTCTTCCTTAATTACCATTTCGTTATTGGTTACTCTATCATCAATTGATATGTTCCCGCGCAGTTAATGGCGAAATGAAAGAAAATCTATTTATTAAATTTTTAATATCACTTTCTATTATTAAATTAGATTAGCTATATTCACAACCTCTACATTGTCCGGCAAAAGAAGAATACAGTTCTCTTCCAGCAATTATTAATGGTAATTGGAGTAACGTTGTCCCGAGCTTCTGCAACAAATTATACGGCCTTTTTAATATCAAATTCTTTAGTTTTTTTTTACCTTCATGTTATCTATTTTCTCTTAGTCGAATAAAATAAATAAAACATTATCTTTTTGTTGTTATTTAAATCCTTTTCTTGGATGTGAATGCATTTGTCGCCATAAATTCCATATGTCTGTTACAATTCATGATGAATATCAATATGCATTATATATATTCCTTTTATAAATAAATTAAGTAATATCAAGATCATGCACGAACAAAACTTTTAAGGAACCGATTTTTGAAATATCCTGATGAGTAAAAGATGAGAAATTCAACAGAGTTGGAAAACAAAACCCTTGATCTTCTTTTTCGCGTGGGACGATGGTCACATCCAGGGTGTCGCGGAAAATTTTTTAGTGATTGAGTGTCTACTTGGTTCCCTTTTTTTGTGTGTATGTACACTTCCAAATTGCATACAAGTTGTAGAATTTTTAAAAATCATTTCCAAAAAAAAAAATAAAGATAAAATAAGTAGGCAGAGTTGGCATTGGACAACATCCTGGATATGTTCAAGGTATATTGAACTTGGCATTCTTGATGATAATAAATCTGATGATGGTGGTTATGGTAATTGATTGTCATTTTGAGTTAATGATTGGAGTTGGAGTTGCTTGGGTGAAGAAGGTTGTGGTTGTTTGTGATGTTGTTGTTGATCCTACACTTGATGGAATTATGTATTCGATCTACAGTTGCAGGGTAACATGTCAACCTTTATCACATGTGTTAGATTTAATAGGCTTCCTCATTCAAACATGCAAACACTGTGCAATTAAGCACCGTGGAATTTCTCCACAGGTAAAAGAGGGATGAACAAGCCGGATAACTTCAGACAAGCGAAATGCTTTAATCAATGTTGGCATTTGACTATTAGCGGCCAACATTATTGGCCAAAAATGGCCAGAATGGGCAAAACAGCAGTTTTCCGTATGAGATGTAGATCTCCAACAGTCGTGTTGCCTTTTTCATCTCTGATGTTTCTTAGTTCTTATGATCGTTTTTTTCTAGTCTGACATTCATTTTTATATTAAAATTTTTTAATTCATGATAAAGAATGCAAACACTGTGCAATTAAGCACCGTGGAATTTCTCCACAGGTAAAAGAGGGATGAACAAGCCGGATAACTTCAGACAAGCGAAATGCTTTAATCAATGTTGGCATTTGACTATTAGCGGCCAACATTATTGGCCAAAAATGGCCAGAATGGGCAAAACAGCAGTTTTCCGTATGAGATGTAGATCTCCAACAGTCGTGTTGCCTTTTTCATCTCTGATGTTTCTTAGTTCTTATGATCGTTTTTTTCTAGTCTGACATTCATTTTTATATTAAAATTTTTTAATTCATGATAAAGAAAATATCTCATTATTTTTATAATGAACTTGATGATTAATTAATGTAAAGAAAAACTTTCTAACAAATACCCTTTCATATTGAAAAGACGTTCTTCATATCAAGCTATAGTTATTCAAAGATGGTGTTGCTTTTTCACTTCAAAGCCGAGATTATTCAAAGTATCTAATGATGTATGACAAAACTTTTTAGTCATTGACGTAACTAAAGTATTGACTAAAGGTAGTCTCTCACCAGGATTATTTTGACGATTTGACTAAAGCAAAAGCACTTGACGTAATTAAAAATATTTGATGCAAGTAAAAATGCTTGATACAAGCAGCAATAATGATAATAATAAAATAGGATTATCAAAAGTTTAAAATGTGTGCCCGAGACGAATAAAGAATTATTATATCATTCTTTGTATATTGCAAGAAGAATAATTATCATGGGAAGTTTATAAATGTTATAATTTAAATTAGAAATTTTACTTTATTAAATTACTTATTTTTTTCCTCTTTTCTACAAATTAAAACCATTCTTTTATTATTACATTTCATAAAATGTAAATGTTTTTTCGAATTTTTAACTTTGAAGTTAACTACGCGTAATAGTGATACGCAATAATAATATTAGTATGCTTGAGCTGTCTTTTGTGTCTGAATTTGAAATAACATAGATTGATCAATATTGGTACTTAGAACGAACGACCTTTACATAACACATAAAGACAGGTTTTGATACATAAGTTTTAATTTTGTTTTCTATTTTTATTATCACTTTTAAATCTTCAAAGAATTTCTTTTATTATTGAATCACGATTGTTCTTCAAATAAAAAATGTTGTACGAAAAAATTGTTGCTAACAATATTTTTTATTTACATTTAATTGCATTGGGTTCTAATAATTAAAAGAAGGAATCGATGAATGACAATTTAATCTCCACTATAAATTATTTGTTATAATTATTTGTCTTTTTATTTTATCTTTTTTAAAGCTAAATTATAATAATGTTTTGAAAGAATAAACTTTTTTATTCTTGTTAAATTCTAGTTAACAATTATGGCTTAACTTTTGACTACTCTTGGCAGTTAATTGCAAGTAATTCGGTGCTTGTCAATTAATTAGTTTACAATTTACTTAGTTTCCCTCTTTCTTGCATCTAGACGAATCTGTGAGCACACTTGATGGTACCAGATAACTAAATAAATAAAGATGGCCTTTTACAAAGCTCAAGGGCTTTGATTTATTTCATTAGCAGATTGCAAACCCGCTTTGGTTTACTTGCAAAAGTAGCTTGTTAATAATACTACCAGTATTTCCAATTAACCTTTGGATGATGTTTCATTAACATCCACTAGTTAACCAATGTTAGTCCAAACCTTTGCTTACTCGCTAAAGCAAATCACGGAGGAATTTCTGATTAATTTGATATTATGATGATATGGAATACCATCACATTCTACTACAATCCATTTATGTATTCCATCCTCGATTCCTAATATTTTCTTGTGTGAAGGCGAACCTTTTCAACATATTAATATAGAATTGACATTAATATCGTATCAACCAATTTGGGTTTTAGACCCTTTTTCAAACCCTATATATGTAACTAAATGATGTATGACGAAACTTTTGACTTTAAGACATTGACGTAACTAAAGTATTGACTAAAGGTAATTTCTCACCAGGGCTATTTTGACGATTTGACTAAAGTAAAAGTCCTTGACGTAATTAAAAACACTTGACGTAAGTAAAAACACTTGACGTAAGTAAAAGCACAGCAATAATGATAATGATAAATAGGATTCCAAATTATGTAAAAATGTGTGCCCCGAGACGAATAAAGAATTATTATATCATTCTCTGTATATTGCAATGATGCAAGAAGAATAATTATCATGGGAAGTTTATAAATGTTATAATTAAATTAGAAATTTTACTTTGCAAACACTGTGCAATTAAGCACCGTGGAATTTCTCCACAGGTAAAAGAGGGATGAACAAGCCGGATAACTTCAGACAAGCGAAATGCTTTAATCAATGTTGGCATTTGACTATTAGCGGCCAACATTATTGGCCAAAAATGGCCAGAATGGGCAAAACAGCAGTTTTCCGTATGAGATGTAGATCTCCAACAGTCGTGTTGCCTTTTTCATCTCTGATGTTTCTTAGTTCTTATGATCGTTTTTTTCTAGTCTGACATTCATTTTTATATTAAAATTTTTTAATTCATGATAAAGAAAATATCTCATTATTTTTATAATGAACTTGATGATTAATTAATGTAAAGAAAAACTTTCTAACAAATACCCTTTCATATTGAAAAGACGTTCTTCATATCAAGCTATAGTTATTCAAAGATGGTGTTGCTTTTTCACTTCAAAGCCGAGATTATTCAAAGTATCTAATGATGTATGACAAAACTTTTTAGTCATTGACGTAACTAAAGTATTGACTAAAGGTAGTCTCTCACCAGGATTATTTTGACGATTTGACTAAAGCAAAAGCACTTGACGTAATTAAAAATATTTGATGCAAGTAAAAATGCTTGATACAAGCAGCAATAATGATAATAATAAAATAGGATTATCAAAAGTTTAAAATGTGTGCCCGAGACGAATAAAGAATTATTATATCATTCTTTGTATATTGCAAGAAGAATAATTATCATGGGAAGTTTATAAATGTTATAATTTAAATTAGAAATTTTACTTTATTAAATTACTTATTTTTTTCCTCTTTTCTACAAATTAAAACCATTCTTTTATTATTACATTTCATAAAATGTAAATGTTTTTTCGAATTTTTAACTTTGAAGTTAACTACGCGTAATAGTGATACGCAATAATAATATTAGTATGCTTGAGCTGTCTTTTGTGTCTGAATTTGAAATAACATAGATTGATCAATATTGGTACTTAGAACGAACGACCTTTACATAACACATAAAGACAGGTTTTGATACATAAGTTTTAATTTTGTTTTCTATTTTTATTATCACTTTTAAATCTTCAAAGAATTTCTTTTATTATTGAATCACGATTGTTCTTCAAATAAAAAATGTTGTACGAAAAAATTGTTGCTAACAATATTTTTTATTTACATTTAATTGCATTGGGTTCTAATAATTAAAAGAAGGAATCGATGAATGACAATTTAATCTCCACTATAAATTATTTGTTATAATTATTTGTCTTTTTATTTTATCTTTTTTAAAGCTAAATTATAATAATGTTTTGAAAGAATAAACTTTTTGATTCTTGTTAAATTGTGGTTAACAATTATGGCTTAACTTTTGACTACTCTTGGCAGTTAATTCGGCGCTTGTCAGTTAATTAATTTACAATTTACTTTGGTTTCCTCTTTCTTGCACTTAGACAAAACTGTGGCACACTTGATGGTGCCAGATAATTGTAAATAAATAAAGAGTCTTTTACAAAACTCGAGAGCTTCTATAAAGTTCTTTTTATTCACTTGTGATCGATTTATTCGTTTGCATTTATTGACTCGCTTTGGTTTACTTGAAAACAACCAAAGTAGCTTGTTTAACAGCCTTACGTTTACAATTACAATAACGTTACCAGTATTTCCAATTATACCTTTGAGCGATGCTTCATTAACACTCACCAGATAACCAACATTAATCCTAACCTTGCTTGCTTGTTCACTAAGTAAATAAACGTGGCTTTTTACCAAAGCTCCACAATTGTTACCTTTTACCAAGACATTAACTACACTTGTTGCTTTTATCAAGGCGCTTTAAACAAA